GAGTGTGGGTGGACAGGGTCTGATGAGGGGAAGCGAGCACATCTAGATGTGTATAAGAGACAGGTGTGTGTGTGTGTGTGTGTGTGTGTATGTGTGTGTGTGCGTGTCCCTCTCCCTCCCATTCCCTCTCCCCTCTCTCTCCACAGGCACCAACCCTACGATGCTTCCCCAATATTACCTTTCCTGGAAGGGTACTGCAGCGACCGTATTGTCTCCAAACAGACGTCAGAGATAGAGCTCTTCATCAACGTCGGGTTCTCTGACTTCAACACCTCGTGGGCGACAGATGTCATCAGAGCAATGCACCTGGTCACAACAAGAAGGGCATTCATTGGCTGCAAATATTATACAATGAAAGACTCCTGTTTCTTTCTTCACTACTACTTGAAAATATACAGAAAGAAGGAGAGAGGCTTTTGGGTTTCCCATGCTCCAAACTTCCGGAGTCCAATCAGTCTTCCGTGGTCCTGTTCACGAGTCATGCATGGATGAGGCTTAAAAAATTAAAAAAATGATTTTAATTATAAATTATAAATCAAACCAAAATATCCAAATAAATATTTATTATTTACTATTTAGTATTTACTTAAAGTTACAAAGCTATATACTTCAAATTTCGACGTTCAAACAGAGTTAAGCTGGTCGTGACCATCCGAAGAAAAAATAAAAATAAAAATAAAAATGCTGCAGATTGAACCTGATTCTGATGGATCATTCATTAGTCAATGCACAGCAGACCACAATGAGGAGCGCCATGCCCCACCGGAGGAGTCCCACAGATTTGACGCTGTGGTCCCCACCACTCAATGTTGTGCACTTATCACCACTGGGGGTGCTGTCTTGGTTGATTGATTGGTTGGTGGGGGGGGGGCGTATGGGGGTATTGGCGGCGGGTATGGGGTTGTTGATGGGTTTATTGGGGGTTACGCACTCCCAGAAAAGAATATATACATATCCATGTGGGCGGCCTTGTACGCAAGAGGTTCTGAACAGGGGGAGTTGTAAGGAAGAAGATTAAAAAAATGAATTTATTTTTCTTTGTTTTCTCTCTGTTTTTCTTTCGCTTTTGCGCTCTGACAACTTTCTGACAATATATAAACATATATATATGAATATACGTGCAAGCCGCCGCTCAACCTACATCCACGTGGGTGGCCTTGTACGCAAGAGGTTCTGAACAGGGGCAGCTGTAAGGAAGGAGATAAAAAAACGAAAAAAAAAAATTGTTTTCTTTCTGTTTTTTTCGCTTTGTGCTCTGATAACTTTGTGATGCTATATATCGTCAAATATATATATGGGGATTTTTTTTATTTTTTTTTCGGCGGTGTGCTGCCGACACCCCACCGGTAGGTGCCGACCAGCTGACCAGTCAAGGGGCACAGACTTTCGGGGTATTCAACACTGCTTCTGACGCATTTGTGCACTGTTCAGCCACATGGGTCAGGTACAAAAATAGTAAAATACACTTCATTTTAAAAAAAAATCTTGAATTTAATTTATTTCTTTTTTTAAAGGGGATAACGGTCCGAACCCCTACCTTTAATGTATCCATCTAATACAATCAGTATTCGACTGTTTTAAACTCGCGTCAAGTTCATGAACAGTTACATGTCTGTGCACTTCCATTCAGCCACATGGGTTGGGAAGACGAATACACTTGCTACTACCATCTTCACCCGACTAGAATTGTACTGTCATTTTTGCTGCATCTGTACTGACAATTACTCCAATTACAGCTATAATGACCGGGCTGTGGGCCTTCTGTTCGGGTGATGAGAGTAGCTCCTAGGGAAAGAGAGGATTTGAAAATGGGCAGACAAGCGGGGGGTTGCAAACAAGTTGAAAAAGACTTGCCTCATTCCTGCTGCATGGGCAGCTTTCACACCCGCTGGCGCATCCTCTATCACCACGCACTGAAGAAACATTACAGAAAATGTCAGAAACGCCAAAATACATTAAAAAAAAAGAAAGAAAAAAAATCGGAAGCGTGTGTGGGC